AAAATAAAACTAGGAATGATATATTATTAATAGAATATCAGGGAAGTCTCTCGGGGGATATGATTTTTATAAATTGGATTGTTGTTGTTAATTGCGAAGTCGTGTCCGACCCATCGCGACCCCATGAACAACGTTCCTCCAGATCTTCCTGTCCTCTACCATCTTCTGGAGTCCATTTAAGTTCACACCTACTGCTTCAGTGACTCCATCCAGCCATCTCATTCTCTGTCGTCCCCTTCTTCTATTGCCCTCAATCTTTCCTAGCATTAGGCCCTTCTCCAGTGAGTCCTTCCTTCCTCATTAGGTGGCCAAAGTATTTGAGTTTCAACTTTAGGATCTGGCCTTCTAAAGAGCAGTCGGGGTTGATCTCTTCTAGGACTGATCGGTTTGAATGCCTTGCAGTCCAAGGGACTCGCAGGAGTCTTCTCCAGCACCATAGTTCAAAGGCCTCAATTCTTTGGCGCTCAGCCTTTCTTATGGTCCAACTTTCATAGCCATACATTGCAACTGGGAAAACCATGGCCTGGACTATACGCACTTTTGTTGGCAGGGTGATGTTTCTGCTTTTTAGTATGCTGTCTAGATTTGCCATAGCTTTCCTCCCCAAGAGCAAGCATCTTTTAATTTCTTGGCTGCAGTCCCCATCTGAGGTGATCTTTGAGCCCAGAAAAATAAAATCTGTCACTACCTCAATTTCTTCCCCATCTATTTGCCAGGAATTGAGAGGGCCGGATGCCATGATTTTGGTTTTCTTAATGTTGAGTTTCAAGCCAACTTTTGCACTCTCCTTCTTCACCCGCATCAAGAGGCTCTTTAGTTTAAATTGGATACCATCACTAAAAAGTCCCTTTCCCAATATGGTGGTCATCTCCGTTCTCCGTTCTCAGACCTGCTCAGAGCAAAACAGCTAAAGAGGATCATAAAGTATATCTGGGATGAAGTAAAATTCAAATAGTCCACATGTACTTTGAAGGTCGAGCCATTACCTTGAATTAGATTAACAACTTATTACAGCAAGTTGACAATAGCAATTTAGAAGGAAAGAATAGGCATGCTCCAGGTCCCATCTCTTAAGTGCTGCCATCTTAAATGGAATCTAATAAGCATGGCTTTCTGTAGTAGGAGGTCCACAGTTGATCTATCTTCTCCCTGGGATCTGACAGACCCACCACCACCCTTTTAGCCTTCCAGAAAGCTATGAAGATCTGATTTTACCCCCAAGTCCCCAGTGTAGATAAGGATTGTATGGACTGGCAAATTGGAGATGGTAAGTCAGCTGCCTGGTTTTCTTGATTTTCATGGTTTTGGTGTTATTATTATTGTGAACCACCCAGATATGTTTTGCAAGACAGGCAGCCCTTTAAAACTTTTAAATAAAAAAGTAAAGTTTTGAAAAGTAGTTATAGAAAGAAAACAAAAGAAATTTAAAAGAACATTTTACATAGAAATATAGTATCAGTGAAGTTGCATAGACTTTCATTTTCCTAATACAGAAAAGTAACTATTGTCTTATGAATGGCAGCCCTCAACCAAGCCTGATGATTGGGGATATCAGCAGAGATTATCATGAGATGCATAATCAGAGAGTCATCTGTGTGTTGGGATTGAACTCACAGAACCAGGTGTGCAGAGAATTGCAATGTAGCATTTTGCAAGGGGTCACATTGAAGAAACCTATTGTGATTCAGCACAAAAGAGCAGCCCTCAAATTACAATTTCCTACTATCTATACTTCTGTAGCAATTTCTGTGCTGTTTACTGGTTGTTGTTGTTTGTTTGTTTGTTTGTTTTAACAGATACATGGCCATTATTGATCCTTTGAAGCCCAGGTTGTCTGCCACCGCTACAAAAGTAGTGATTGCAAGTATATGGATTCTAGCATTCCTCCTTGCATTTCCTCAGTGTCTCTTTTCTAAGACTCAGGTGGTGCCAGGACGAACTCTGTGCTATGTTTCCTGGCCAGGTGGTATGAAACAACGTTTTACGTAAGTGAACACTTTAAATGGTTGGGTATTTTTGCATGCTTTTTTTGCCCTACAAAAGCATAGTAATATAATACCTGCCATAGCGATTCAAATTAAAGATGACAGCTTGAGAGAACTGAACATTTCAACCAAGTCCATTATTTCCATAGTTGCACTTCATTGTGATAGTAGTAGAAGAAGTAAATTGCAACAGATCCTCGTCAGAAAATCTCAGATGTTGTGGAACAGGATCTTTCCAAATAAGATTTTTAAATTAGCCTTTCCCAACATGGAGCCATGAAGACTTGAAGAAGTGGTACATGGCTTTGCTTTTCCATCTGTGAAAACACATATGGAGTTCTGTATCACTTTAAGTATGAGTCAGTCTGTTACTGTATAATTGGTAATGTAGCATATTACAGTTCATCAGATGCATGAAATATTCTGCTGTAGAGGTGGCTGCATTTGTGTGTGTGAATGGGTTATGTGAAGGGAAAGGAGTATGGTGCAGAATAGAGTATAGAATAGATAATAAGTATTAACAAAGCAATAGATATGACACAGACATGCTTGCGTTGGTGATCTGGTTTATATATTATACCAAATCATGGTCTTTTTTAATCAATTCCACTCTTTTATAATGAAATCAATCTTTGTAATTATTTTATTCAGTGATAGCTATGTTGAAATCAATACTATTTGAAATGTTCCCCACTGATTTTGAACTATTGCAAGGTTTGATATTATATTCACGAGGAATGCTAGTTGCTTTTAAGAACGCAAACAACCGCATTTAAAAAAAAATGTTTTTGGTATCAGGCTCATGTTCTTCTCTTCTAGGTATCATATCATTGTGATCGCGTTAGTCTATTGTTCCCCCCTGCTTGTCATGGGCATCACTTATACAATTGTTGGAATTACCCTGTGGGGTGGAGAGATCCCAGGTGATACTTCTGACAAATACCATGAGCAGCTGAAAGCTAAGAGAAAGGTACTGTAAAACTTCAGCTTTCTTGTTTAGCAAGTATTAACAGATTTTACAATATTTATAAGCTATCCCTATCTTCAGGCTGTAAGTGGTGTATAAAGTATTAGGAAGTCATTAAAAACAAGGGCATAAGATAAGGGATGGCTGCTCAGATTTTCATTCCTGACTAAAAACCCACTGAAAAATAATGGTCTTACAGCATCTTCTGTAATGTCAGAAGGATGGTGTCATGTAGTAGTTCTCCAATGGAAACATATTCCACAATGTAGGAGCAGCTGCAGAAAAGGCATATCTTCTGATCTGCACACATTTCTTTCTTCACTTAAGGCTGGGATGTTCAGCAAGCCCTCTTAATGATCAGAATGGACAGGAAGAGCCATATGCAGTAAGAGCCATATGCAGTAATAGCAACGATAACTTATGCATCTTCATAACTTTTTCATTTCAAAACCACTGGGTTTTTTTCTCCATCTCACTACACCACTTTTCATGCAAATAATAAAACTTGATTTAAGACAGAGTATTGACATTGCCTATGTTTCATTTGTTTATTGTCTCATTTATTTTCTAGCTGTCATGTAGCATCTTCACTTTAAAAAAACTTTAATGAAGTTTTCAGGATTTAGTTATATTGGTAGGCATATAGAAGTTAAAAGTTTTCTAATGCATTTGAAATTGGAAATACAATGTGATACAAATTTTATGAAGTCAACTGACTAATTTTGTGGTGCATTCCAGTGCAACGTCTTTTTTTTTTATGATAATTTTTATTAAATTTTTGAAATTTTACAAAAACAAAACAATCTTCCCCCCAACCTCCCCAACCCTCCCATTCCCTCCCCCGACCTTCCCAGAGCTGAATATAGGCTTAATTAAAATTTCATCAAAAAATCTTAAAAAAAGATATAAACCATAAATGAATCTAACATTAGTTAGAAATCTAAATACATTAATTAGAAAAATTATAAAATAATTAACAATAGTATATATATAAAAAAAACATGAATACAAAAAATAAATGTTTAGAAAGGAAAAGAATTTAAAAAAGGAAAAAAGAAGAACAAAAAAAGAAAAAAAAACAAAATATTCCATTTTAAATATAAATTGTTAAAAAACTAAGTAATATTTTTATATCCAACTTATGTTGTATAAAATCTATCCATTTTTTCCATACTGCAACATACTTCTCTTGCGATTGATCCTTCAAGAAAGCCGAAATCTTTGCCATTTCCGCCAAATAAGAAACTTTAAGAAACCACTCTTGCAAAGTAGGCAAAGATTCCTTCTTCCAACATTGCCCTACTAACAACCTTGCGGCTGTAATTAAATTTAACATCAATGTAATCTCCTTAGTATCACAATCAATAACGATACCTAACAAAAACAATTGTGGGGTAAATTTTACCCTCCTTCTAAAAATTCTTTGAATATTCCACCATATCTTAATCCAAAAGGCTTTTATATTTTTACACGACCACCAGATATGATAATAAGTAGCATCCAAACATCCACATCTCCAACATTTAGGCTGTAAGTCAGGATACATACAAGACATTTTTTGTGGATCAAGGTGCCATCTGTAAAACATTTTACAAAAATTCTCCCTTAAATTCTGGGCTTGTGTAAATTTAACATTTCTCACCCAAATAGTTTCCCAAGTATCTAATAAAACTGGTTCACCAAAATTTCGTGCCCATTTAATCATACATTCTTTAACTAATTCTGCTTCCGAATCCAATTCTACTAACACCCCATAAATTCTCTTAATGTGAGTTCGTCTTTGATCTTTTACTTGTTTAAAAAAATTCTCATCTTCTCTAAGCAAACCCACATTACAATCTACCTTCCATCTATCCACAATTTGTCTGTACTGAAACCATGAATATATAATATTTTCTTGTGCTAAATCTTCCAAAGATTTTAACTGCCAATTTTTACCATCCCATCTAAGTAATTGTGCATAAGAAACACTATCCACCTTAACTCCTCTCCTTATCCCCTCTATCGCATGCCATGGTATGGCCCATAATGGAATTTTAGAATCAGTTCTATAATATTTCCTCATCCATCCAGACCTCTGCTGCTCTGCGTGTATTTCTTGCAAAAACAGTTCCACTTCCTCCTGGAAAGGTATAAGGATGTTGCTTGCGGAAGACGTGACCAACTCGGCTGCATGGGACGATTTCAAGACTCCCACCACATTGCCACACACGGAATGAAATCTCTAGATTTTCTCCACCCCATACATCCATCATCATATCATACTTTCCCAATTCTTCAAAATAAAGTTTGTCCATCACAAAGAGTCCACCAGCTATCATTGGTGTTTTTATGGGAGCAACTGGATTTCCTTGTCGTGCTCTTCTTTGCTCAGGGGTCATGTAATCCCACTTGAATACCAAATTCCAATCAAAGCCGCCTTTTAAATCAGCCAAGGCCCCCACATACTGGAAATTGTCCATATTAATTACATCAATTATGGGAGATACAACCCGGGTCTTGTCCTCGGCTACTCTCTCCAGGAGAGGCTCCAGCCAGTGCTCGTTGCATTCACAGTGACTATCCAAGAATGTAAGTACTTTTGCTTGTGCTGCATCTGCCCCTCGAACACGAGAGCGCATCAAACCTTCCTGGCGGTCATTTCGAAGTATCTTCACTTTCTCAATTTTACCTAATACAGCACCGTCCTCAGGATCATTGCTGTAGTCATCTACTAATATAATTTCCTTAATAAGATGTGGTGGGCTTTTTTTGAGAACACTGACAACAGTTCGAAGGAGTGCAACGTCTTTTGATAATTTCCTGATCAAAGTCCTAAATCACTGAGTTTGTATAATTAAATAGACCTTTCTGCTTTGAAAGTATAAACAAGAGTCTAGAGCTTGATTTTCTAAGAATGTCATAGGGTTCTGTTTTCTCCTCTCGGTTGTAACATATTATAATATAAAATGTGTTTTGGTATCTTTTAGTGGTTGCTGCTAGTAAAGGCAGTGTTGTCATATCTTCCATTCTGATTTACTACTTATTTTCCCAGAAAGGAAGACATAGTGTCTTATGCAGGGGTATGCTAAATCTGGCTCACACTGGCTTACTAGAGCCAATTGTTAATTCTGGAATATTGTTACTCAATTGATAGCCAAAGTATCTACAATGTCTCGTGCACTAATCAGTAATGGAAATACAAGTGGCAAAGCTGGTTTTTAAATATTTAGCAGCAAACTTTATGTTTTATAGGAAGTAATAATTTAGGTAACTAAAATGTGCATATGTAGATTGTATCCATTCATACATGTAAAATTTAAAAAAAAATACTATTCATTTAAAATACATTGTAACTTGCAACAGAGAAGACCATAGCTAGATAACTTGCCCATCTGCTCAGTGATTGATTATGTGCCATCAAGCCATTTTCTATTCCTAGTGATCACTTAGGTAAACTTTCTTCATGGCAATATGTCTTTAAACTGGCCTTTAGGTTTCCCAACAGTATAACTGAATCTGTCTACCTTGATGCTTCCTTCCTTCCACCTTTCCCAGTTTGAGAACCTTTTCCTGAAAGCTAGGTCCTTGTATAATATGTCGAAAGTAGGGTAATGTGAGCTTGGTCATTTATATCTTAATTGACAACTCTAGGTAGATTTCTTCTGTGATCCATTGGCTTGTTTTCTGGGCTGTCCATAGCATTCTCAGGAGTCCTCACCAGCTTCAAAGCTCAAAAACGTCAATACTTATTATTAGTAGACCACTTTAGAATCTCTTTATCATTACATTGCATTTGGAATAGATAGTGAATGGGGATGCTTATAACCTTTGCAGTGTTGCTGAATTGCAGCTATCAGAGTCTTATCACTGACCATGCTAGATGGAGTTAATGGGGGTCATAGTTTAATATCTGGAGGGCGCCAGATTCCCTACCCTTCAAAATAAGATACTGCAAATGGAAGATTATTCTCTAGTGAACCTCCCAAGAGAGCCTGTCCGTTATAAAGGGACACATGACTACCCTGACATTAAATCATCCCCTAAAGCATCTAGTTCCACCCCAACTCACTGTTTTCCAATACAGACAGTGTATTTAATCTGTTTAATACAGATTAAACCTTGACCATGCAGAATAATATTGATCGGTCTTTTCATTTTGTCAATAAAGAACAAGTTTATACAGAGACAGCTAACACATTTAATCCATCTAAAATTGTAAATCCAGGATGGCATTGTCTTTCCATTGCAAAATCATATTTATTTGAAACCTGGCAAGTAGCTGATAATAATCTGTTATTGTTTACTATCTATTATTAAATAGTCTTTAATAGCCTGTTTTAAAAATGCATTTCAGTATTGAGAGTAATTCAAGAGTTTAGATGTCCCTAACGATAATAAAATATTCTGCCATTACACTTTGTGGGCAATTCAAATTTCTACTGCAATTATTTAAGTAGGTTACATTTGATCAGTAATGAAGAGCTTTAAAGTGTGAATCCCACAAAATATGCATGATTTTAAAGAAATATGTAATTATCTGGATTATTCCAAATAATCATATGAATAGGGATCAAAGGAATAAAAAAATTACTACCTTACCTTTTTTCCATTTGTTTCCTAATTTTCTTTTTCTCCTTTGTTTCTTTTTGTCTCTATGATGAAGAGATTTTTTTTAAAAAAAATGTTCCAAATATGCTTAAAATGAGCTCATATTCAGTTACTACTTTAATAATGCAGGATCTTGGTCCAGAGCCTTCTCCACTGTCCTGACTCTGGCTTTGCTATAGATTTTTTAATGCTCTATACAAAATGAACAAATCACCCCAGGTCCCATTTATCAATTTATTTTTGTCCATGTGGGATGAAACATTTGCATGTGTGAAACAATGTGTGTGAAACAATATAAGAGAATTGGGACTGCAGAAGACAGGGGACCCAGGAAAACCACTCAATATGGTGAACTGAAGAAGAGTAGGCATAATAGAATCTTCAACCAGAGGAAATTAAGGAGGTATATCTATTTTTGTGAATGCTTTTCACGTTGCATTACCTTGACTATTCATTTATTTATAACTAACAAAACTAAACTCTGGTGTAGTGTTAAGCCATCAGGCCAAATACCAAGAGACTATGAGGTCATGTTCCCATTTAGACACAAAGCTAGCTGGATGGCCTTGGGCCAATCACTCTCTCAGCCCAATGAAGGAAGCAATGGAAAATCATTCAAAATATTTCCAGGAAAATTTCAGGGACTTCTGCAGGCAGTCACCATGCATCAACATGGACTTGAAAGTTCTAAAACAGACTCAAACATATAGTCCATTTTTAATATATTAGACAGATGAGAGATACCTAGATAGATAGAATTGGTGAAAGTAAACATTTTTTTTCTCTTTCCAAATATCTCTATGGCCCTATACAATATTGGCAGCTAACGGAGCACAACTGGAAGAGACCAGGTTAGTGGAAGATGATCGAGTGTTCTTGTAGCTTGATCAGCAGCTTGAGGAACATCAGCAGCTTGAGGAACACCAGTTGCAAGTTGATCATTTTTTCCCCCCTGCAAAATAAATATTGGCAGGTTATCGAAATATGGCACATCTCATAAAAAAGACTGTCTCTCTTTCTCTCTTTTTCATGCTAAAATTTTAATGGATACACTGCTCAAAACGATTTTAGTAACATTTAACTTAAGGCAAGACCTTAGACTTCTTTCGCTTAGCTGACAAATCTGACATTTAAAAGATGGGCAGCTTAGTTTAATAACTTAGCTACAGAGACAGCAGTGCTGTACTGATTAAAAAAAGGGTGGAAGCTATCATGATTCAGATTCAATTATAAACATTTGAAATGCATTTTTGGATGAAAATCCGGTTTCTATTGATCATGTTCAAATGAAATATACATGCATATATACGTACACGCATACACACGCACACATACAAAAACATATATATAATATATATATATATATATATATATATATATATATATATATATATATATATAGTGAGAAAACGATTTCTGAAAGTCTGACCATTTCACTTAATATTTGATCATCCAAGTTGTCTCATATATATGCTGAATCTGCCAGTCAAATGTGCTATATTGAAGTTTTATGTATTTATGTTTTATTTATTCTTATCATGCCTGTATTAGTTTTAGAAAAAAACTCAAGGTGGCAAACATTCCTTCCTTCTCCTGTCTAACCCATTATATATGACACTGTTGTCAGATTATAAAATTATAAGCCGATGTAACAAAATGAATTCTTTTTTAATAGACTTTTCTTGATTATAGCCATCAGCTTATTTTCTTGTGTCAAAGGCCTTCCACTGTTAGGCATTACCAGGGGGCTGACTATGAAGATAAAATGAAAAGACCACTTAGTGTGAAGGAGGAGGAAGAGGAGGAGGAGGAGGAGATGGAGCTGGGGCTGATGGAGGGAGATGGCACTGCCTCTCTGGGCGAGGAGGAATGATTGGAGGAGGAGGTAGTCCCAGCTCCCTTGAGCCTCCAAAGAGGAAGAGAGCGCACAGGATGACCCAGTGAGGGGGGGGGAGATGGAAAGGGCAGGCAGTAGAACAGAGGAGCGACAGACCTCAAAGATAAGCAACTACCTCCCCCTCCTGATCCCCAAGCACGGAGAATGGAGAGGAGGCGGAGTCAGTACAGAGCGACCCGACTACTTGGAAGGAGGGTGCCCCGTCCCTCTTCACAAAGCTCACCTGTGGAATCGGATTTAAAGAGATTCCATGGGGAGGGAGTTTTGTTGGGAACAAGCTTCGCATTTTTCTAGCCACACTTGCTGTTACTGACATCTTGCTGCCTTGCCTTGCCTTGCCTTGCCTTGCCTTGCCTTGCCTTGCTCTGTGGGATTTTGCAGTGACACAGCTCTGCTCTGGGTTGAGCTGCAGTCCCAGCAAACCCTCCGTGTGATGAGGATGCCCAGTGACCAAGCTTCCTGAACTGTGCTGCTCCCCTCGATTTCTATTGGAGGTGTGTGTGCATGGTTAGAGCTTGCTCTTGGACTTGCAGTGAACAGTGGGAATTTTGGGGGAAAGTTGGATCAATAAAAGGGAGTTAACCCTTCACTTCATCTGTGTCGTTTCTGTGCCCAGCCTTGGGTCATATCATTACATTTGAGCACCAACTCTGATGCTTCCGAATTTGGATGTAGTCCCTAACGCCCTTCTAAACCTTGCTAGGAAAGTGTAATTTTTTACTATGGGAGAAGTTATATCTTACTAAGTAAACATATGGGGAGTAATAAAATTAACTGAATATCATTAGTACAGTTTAGCTATCATACAGAGGCACTCATTACAAAATGGCATGCATTACGACATCAGACAAATGACACTATAAAGTATTTACGTCATGATGTTTGATGCAAGTATGTAAAGCATGCTGCTTACACAATGACATCACGCCATGTCAAATGATGTCATCATTTGTCTTCCTCCCATCCCCTTGAGATGCCCAATTATGGAGCTAAATCAATTTGCTGATATTTTTGAAGAGTGGCTACCAGCACACAACCTGGATGGTCAGTATGAGCCTCAAGCTGAGGAGACTTTTGGTTTTTGTGTTAGGATTTGAAGCAGATTTTCAATCCCAACAGCACTGACATAATAATTAATATTTTAATAGTAATTTTATTTAAAAAAATAAAATTATAATGATGAAAAACTAGTACAAACTAAAAACAAAAAAATAGAAAGTGCATAAAAAATAGAAAGGAAAGAAAAATAAGAATGTATTAAAGAAAAAGAAATTTATAAAGAAATGACTTCCCCCTTCATCACAAGTATGAACAATTTTAATAACTTATCGCCTACTCTTAATATACAACAAATAATCTCTTCTTCCCATATCCCTTCTCTTATGTATAAAGGGACTCTTAATGTGTTCTTCTCCTTTAATTGTAGATTTTAGTTTCTTCTAATTCTGTCTGATGTCCTACTTTCAAAGCCCCATCCTTTTGCTTAATATTAAAAAACCTGCTTTCTAGAACCTTATTCACTCCCTTAATATATTTAAAGGTTTCAATCATGTTACCCCTTTCCCTTCTGTCCTCCAGGCTGTATGTATTCAGTTCCTCTAATCTCTTTTATACTCTCCTATACGTTTTATCCCTCAGACCTTGCACCATTTTTGTTGCCCATCTCTGGACTCGCTCAATCTTATCAATATCTTTTTATAAGTGAAGTCTCCAGAATTAGACAGAGCATTCCAAATAAAGTGTGACTGAAGCCCTATATAGCAGGGTTAGGGCCTTTTTCTTGCTGATGGGTCTCACCCTGCTATTCAGTCTTCGCCTAGACTCTGCATTAATTGTCAAAGGGTGAAAGGAAAAAATACAATATTATGAGTCAAGGTTTCAATGTTGGGCTATCTCTGAGCTGCCAAATCTGAAGAACAACTATAAGGAACAAAGAGAAGCAGAAAAGCCTAATTCTGTGGGGCCACTTCCTAGTCATCCAGAGTTTTTCAATCTCAGTTTGGTAGTGGTACAAAAAAAAGAATTAATTAATCTATCTCACTCTTAAAATATGTTATCAAAAATGCATCATGTTTACACTACAGTGCAGTTTGCTGACTCACTCTTGCTTAAATATCAGAGTAATTATTTACTCTGCCTTACTCTGGTCAGAAGTTCTCACTGCATAAATTTGGACACAGATTTTTTTTCCAAGAGATTATATGAGAGTAGCAGGATTTACTCTCTAAATAATTCTTGTTTAATTTCCTGAGATAATGAAAAAAAATATTGGAGAAAGGAGAGCTAATGCACTATTCTTTACTCCTCCATGCACAATTTTAATTGTTTAGCAGAAGTTAACATTTGCATAATTCTACAGATATGATTGTC